GCCCGCCACCTCGCCCAGCTAGTTTTTTGTATTTTTTAGTAGAGACGGGGTTTCACTGTGTTAGCCAGGATGGTCTCGATCTCCTGAACTCGTGATCCGCCCATCTCGGCCTCCCAAAGTGCTGGGATTACAGGCTTGAGCCACGGCGCCCAGCCCGTTTTTTGTATTTTTTTAGTAGAGACGGGGTTTCACCGTGTTAGCCAGGATGGTCTCGATCTCCCGACCTTGTGAGCCGCCCACCTCGGCCTCCCAAAGTTGGGATTACAGGCATGAGCCATCGCACCCAGTCGAAAATTCTTAATAATATTTACATGTTTACTGTTTTACAAATACTAAACTTCTGTATCATTTTCTTGAGTCAGGGTCACCATATAGCCCAGGTTGGAGGGCAGTGGCAGTGGCATTGGCATCATCATGGTTCACAGCACCCTTGAACTCCTGGACTCAAGTGATCTTCCTGCCTCAGCCTCCTACGTGGCTAGGACTACAGGTGTATGCCACATGTATTGCTAGTTCTTTGTTTGAAATGAAGTCTCACTATTTTGCTCAGGATCTTCTCAAACTCCAGGCCTCAAGCAATCCTCCCACCTCCAACTCCCAAACAGTTGAAATTACAGGTGTGAGCCACTGTGCCCAGCCTATGTCACATTTAAATATAAGTTTTTAGAGTGAATATTTTAAGAATAAATAAATTTAATGCTAGGCATATTTTCTTTATTTGCTTCTTCTTAACATATTCTTGTATTCTAAGATTTTCTAGAGAGACATTGCTTTGTCTTGTGAGTTTAAATCACCTTAGATTATTCCTGGGATTTTTGTACTGATCTTCAATGTTCTCGTCTTTCCATTTTTCTCCTAGAATACAGAATCAGAAAAATAGTGCTGAATTAAAATAAAATTATGAAAAAATGACTATAGATTCTATGTTCACGGGACATTAGAGCCATACCTCATTTATTCATCAAAGTATTGCCTGTCCATATTCCAAATCAAGGAACAGCATTAATGAGCCAGAAACACTTGTCTCATCCACTGGGGAACATAATACTGTCATTCTTACCTATAGAGGCCAGGTTCCTCAAGGTTTCCTGCATCACTTCTCTGTAGAGATTCTTCTGGGAAGGATCCAGCAAAGACCATTCCTCCTGGGTGAAGTTCACAGCCACATCCTCGAAAGCCACCGAGTCCTGAAACATCCCACACGTATAGAGGAGGATGGGTGAGACTGACAGCACTGGGGGTCTATACCCTCTTCCTAAGACGTTTCCATGGTGCTATGGACTCCAAACATTTATTCCATTTCTTGGTCATCTGACCCATTACTCTCTGTCTACACTTACTTTCTTCTATAAATCACTTCTGATGCTGGAACAGAATTAAGCAATAAACCAACAGCAGAATAGAAAAACGTGTCTTTTCATGGAATCCAGGGAGAAAGGTGCACTGCCTGGGCTGCTCTTAATGTCTGTTTGTAGCATGGGTTTACAGCACCTGTCATAATACAGTCCTCTAAATTCACATGCAAAAAAATGTTAACATTAGCAGTCCTGAGGCTATATATCCTTGAAAATGCCTGTTCACAAAGTTTAACCATTGATGATTACCTGGAAGGGGGATTTTATTTTGATTGAAGCGCAGACAACAAAAGCAAAAAAACTGGATTTTGCAAGGGGTTCAACCAACCCAACTGATAAGAGAGTCAGGACTATCTAAATAAAAAACTCATGAATAGAAATTTTGTGGAAAACAGTACCGTGGTAGGAAAACTTACATTGTAATTGATGAAATGCTGAAGGCTGAAAGGAGACAAGGTTCAGGGATAAAACTCCAGCGCACCGGCCAGGCGCGGTGGCTCAAGCCTGTAATCCCAGCACTTTGGGAGGCCGAGACGGGTGGATCACGAGGTCAGGAGATCGAGACCATCCTGGCTAACA